GCAGCAAAAGGAAGACTTACAGAAAATGCAGGCATGCTCCTAAATGGGACAGAGACCCTGTTGACACAGGACATTGAAAAGGCAAGAGATACTGAATGCCTTCTTTGCCTCAGTATTTAGTGGTAAGATCGGCCTTCAGGAATCCCAAGCCCCTGAGACCAGAAGGGAAGTCTGGAGCAATTAAGACTTGGTGGGTGAGGATCACGTTAGGGAACACTCAAGTAGACTGGGCATGCACAAGTCCATGGGCCCTGATGGGATGCACCCACAAGTGCTGAGGGAGCTGGCTGATGTCATTGCAAGGCCTCTCTCAATTATCTTTGAAAGGTCATGACAATCAGAAGAGATGCCTGAGGCTGGAAGAGAGCAAATGTCACTCTAGTCTTCAAAAAAGGCAAGAAGGAGGACCCAGGGAACTACAGGCCGGTCAGCCCCACCTCGATTTGTGGGCAGGTGCTGGAGCAGCTAATCCTGGATACTCTTTGGAGGGACATGAAGGACAAGAAGGTGATCAGGAGTAGTCAGCATAGATTCACAAAGGGGAAATTGTGCTCAGCAAACCTGATAGCTTTCTGTGATGGAATGACTGGCTGGATAGGTGAGGGGAGAGCAGTGGATGTTGTCTACCCTGACTTGAGTAAGGCTTCTGACACCGTCTCCCGCAACATCCTCATAGGCAAGCTGATGAAGCATGGGCTAGATGAGCAGACAGCGAGGTGGACTGAAAAGTGGCTGAACTGCCGAGCTCAGAGGGTTGCGATCAGCAGCACGAAGTCCAGCTGGAGGCCAGTCACCAGTGGTGGCCCCCAGCGGTCAATACTAGGACCAATCCTGTTCATTCATTAATGACCTGGATGATGTGACAGCGTGTATCCTCAGCAAGTTTGCTGATGATACAAAATTGGGAGGAGTGGCTGATACACCAGAGGGCTGTGCTGCCATTCAGAGGGACCTGGACAGGCTGGAGAGGAACCTCCTGAAGTTCAACAAAGGGAAGTGCAGCATCCTGCCCCTGGGGAGGAATAACCCCAGGCACCAGGACAGGCTGTGGGACTGACCTGCTGGAAAGCAGCTTGGCAGAGAAGGGCCTGGAAGTCCTAGTGGACACCAGGTTGACCATGGGCCAGCAACGCACCATTGCAGCAAAGAAGGCCAGTGTTATCCTGGGCCATGGTAGGAAGGGTGTTGCCAGCAAGTTGAGGGAGGTGAGCCTTTCCCTCCACTCAGTACTGGAGCGAGTCCAGCAGAGGGCCACACAGATGATGTAAGGACTGGAGCCTCTGTCATACAAGGAGAGGCTGAGACAGCTGGGACTGTTTATCCTGGAGGAGAGAAGGCTCAGGGGGAATCTCATCAGTGTTTATAAATAGTTGATGGGAGGCTGTAAAGAAGACGAACCCAGACTCTTCTCCGTGGTGCCCACTGACAGGACAAGAAGCAATGGGCCCATACTGAAACACAGGCAATTCCACTGGAACGCAAGAAAACCCTTCTTCACTGTGAGGACTGTTGAACAATCGAACAGGTTGCCCAGAGAGGCTCTGGAGTCCCCATCCTTGGAGATATTCAAAACCTGACTAGACACGGACCTGGGCAACGTGCTCTAAGTGACCCTGCTTGAGCAGGAGGTCGGACCAGATGATCTTCAGAAGTCCCTTCCAACACCAACCATTTTTAGATTCCCTAATTCTGTAGACTTTTGTAAGGAAATGTAATTTAAACATTTATCATCCAGAGAAGAAAAGCAGATGATGTATTAAAACATCAGGATTCTTAATTTAAATGCTAAAATATATCACACTTTCTTCTTAGAAAAAGTAATATCCTGGCTATTTGATCATCTTGATATCTGTTTTGTTACTTTTCTTCAACTGAGGATGTGAAGAAATACCATCTGACCACAGTGACTGTCACATTACTTCAAACACATCTAAATCACAGTAAATTTTGTATCAGGTAAATGCATTTCACCCACACATGGAAGGAAACGTGTCTGAATTAATATACTTTGAATAATTTTAAAGAACAAATCCATAAAAGCAACCTAAAAGACACCTGAAGTATGTGCTCACAGCTTCAGCTGAAAAGATCAATACAATCTCAATTATGAAATCACTAAAAATGAAAATCAAACAAATACTCATTTTCAAAACAGCAATTAAATCATTCTAAAATAAACAGGACTGGAAATGATGAATAAAACTGGCTTGAAACAGGTTTCTAGTTTCCTAAGTAAGGCAAAAAAGTGAGCAATCGGAGTTTTACTGGTTGTTTCTATAAAGCTGTCATTTCAGAAGGACCATAAAGAAAACGACTGATCATTTAAAACTCATTTAATCTCCATTAAGTTTCAAAAGATGGCCCTATCTAAGGAAACTAATCATATAGTTAAGTTGAAGAGAAAGTAATAGTTGTGAAACTATGGGGATATCTTAGCTTCCTATATATGGTAGATTCAGAAAGAAAAAGTTGAGAAAGTGAAAACCTGCTTCTATAGAGGTTATTCGGACTTATGCTGTTTATCCCATTAGAGCCATTGTTATACACAGAACCTGTGTTTCTGTCAAATGTGATCTTATAGCCTTATTTGAAGTTACATTTAAAGGAAACATCATCTACTAACTCGAGTGTTCTCAAAGAGAAATGAAGATAGCTATTTATTCTAATCTTTGTCTCTCCTTTTCCTGTATTACTGGAAAAAAAAATTGCAGGTAAAAAGTACAGATAGAATTATCTATCTTCAACAGCCACTAAGAACACAAATCAACAGTTTCGTTATGCATTCATATTTTATAACCTACGATACAAGATCCTAGGGGGCCACAAATGCCTTGTTAAGTTTGCTTTTTCTTTTTGGCAGGGGTTAAAGATATTTGCTGAAGGATTACACTTTTATTGCTGCTCTTTGAAAGATATACTGCTCTCTCTACATTTTAGAAGGACTCACAAGAATAATCACTAGCCATTTTGAAGGCCATGCCCATAAACTCAGATGCATGTAAATCCCTGCCAGTCACAGCCTACAGTCACACATTTCAAGTTTAGTATGCCACTGCTTTAAAGATAGCAATATAAATTCCAGTAAATGAAGGCAATGGGTAAATTGAACTGGCATTACTTTTAGTATAACAATATGGAGAATGAAGCAGTGAATATGTGTATGTTAATTTTATGGTAAAAAAAAGAGAAATAGATTTATTTTTCAAATATATATTTTTATATATATATCAAATCAATCTTTTCAATACTATTTAGCTGCATCAGTTTCTCAGTTATTAGCCTTTGAAATCTGTGTAGCATTGCAATGTCTCAAGCTTATGACTCAGAGATAATGCTGTCTCAACACAATGCAGACAATTAGCTGACCTATGTATCATACAATGGCAGCCAGTAAGATTGAAAAAGAAAAAAAGAATTTAAGAATTGGCTTTAATTATTGAACTGTACTTATATCAAATATCTTCTCCAAAAAGAAGTCTTTATCTGCTGGCTCATGGGGAGAGGGAACAGATATAATTTCCCTTGTAAATGTTATGTACATTCACAATTTATATGCTGTGTGACTTTGCCTCATTAACACTAGGCTAGCATACAGAATTTAAAAAACACTTTAAATTGGAGCATAAGAGTAACGTACAGACCAGGGACTGAGAAGAAATATATGATGGAAATGAAACATTTTCTTGAATAGTAGATCCTTTCATCCCTCCACATACATAAAAGAGGCTTTCTATTTTTATTTTAACAAGTTTGCTTGCAAGAGAATATGGTAAAAGCTTAAGCAGTGAGCATAAAAAGTACAAAAAAAAAAGCCAAACCATCTCTTCGTGCATAGCAATCTACTCCATATACTGAGGTCATCAAACCTTCTAGCATGAGTAGCACTGTAAAATTTGCAACATTTACATACTACAAAAACATTTTTGAAGAGAAAATATAAATTTGATCAAATCATGCTTTCTTTTTGGTATTGAGAAATTATTTTTGAGAGCTTTGCTTTACATGTTTCAAGGAAACTTTCCCAATCTCCTTCATATATCATCCTCTAAATGCAAAAAGTTGCTAGTTCCTAGCTAAAACTATCTTTTATTTTAGTAATTTGTATTATGAGTTCCCTCAAATCAGATATATTTGAGGTTTAGGTGCAGCAATTATCTCTGATACTTTAACTATGTGATAAAGTAAAACAACATCTGAATCACTGTATACTAAGTTCAATTTTTATATGAACATCGGAATTATTTCTAAAAGAGTTCTGCTTTAAGTAATCGTTAAATACTTAACCATTATTTTAATGTTATCAATATAAATATAACAGAATATCCAGATTATTTTATTCTCACCTTTTTTCTAATTTGCACACATGAAAGACCCTGAGTGGAAAATAGTTAGTCCTCACAAGAGTATGATAACTTAAAATATTTTCCAAAACTGTAAGTTAACTGTTTGTGAACTTTTGTGTATACTAGATGAAAAATGACTGCACTGGTCAGCCACCATTGTAATACTGCTTACAGTGCAGTTGTTTACATAGATATGATAGCTTACTGCATTGTAAGCATGCCTTTTTAATTTCTCAGCTAAAAATTAATCAACAAATTAGTCCTATATTTAGCACTACAAATAAAACGACAAATTTAATTTATTCTGTGTGTAAATTATTAAAGATAAATTATGATCTACTCATTTTTAAACTCCAAAGTTATGTTAAAATTGCCTCAGTTCTCAAACTGACTTCATTTGCAGCTGTAAAAGTCTGGATTTTGAATGATTTATAAATACTCAGAAGGATTGAATTAATCTGTGTGAACTAAAATGTATCTGAAATCAAAGATAGTTAACTGATGCAAAAGGTTTCCAAACATACATATAATTTTTTTTTTCCAATAGGACTGCTATTTTCTTTTTACTGCCAATAAAACAAAAAGCAAATTAATACTTCCTTGCTCAATATATATGACTAAATCTCTTCAGTGTAACACACAATGAGAAGTTCTTACCTTATTATGATAGGGACAAGTATACCTTTGCTAATGGACTGATTGATGGACACAGTCAGAATGTTCTGAGACCGTCCACAGCTGAATCGAACTGTTGGTCTGCCTTCCACAAGATACAAGTGGAGAAATTGTTCTCCAAAATTCTTTTCACCAGCTGTGAAAACATAAAAACAGACACTTACATGTACACTTTTGAAAGTGTAAGAGCTTTAGAAAAGATTCCACGCTACTGGAACACCACCACCAGTCACCGTGTCTATGTCACATTGCAGATTCTTCTACCATATCCAGAACACTGCTTGAGTGTCTGTGAGAATACAAGTAAACTTCGTATTAACAGCTGATAACAGGCCCAAGTAAAAGGAAAACAAAAATCAAGGCAAAATTTATTTTTATGCTACTTTTATGCTACTTGCATAAGCCCCACACAGATCTTTACATTAACTGAAGACGAAATTTTCTCTCTATCTGGCAGTATTTATCATTAAGGTGACAAGAGCAAGGATAATAAAAGCAAATCACAAAAATATCAGAATATTATGATTTACATTTTCATCTAGATTTCTGACCATATTTTAGAAAATAAAAATTGTAAGATAATATCTCCTCTTTCTTATAATCTCTACAAAGATTACATACAATTCACTTTGGCCAATTAATGATACCTTTAAAACTTAACTAGAGGAATTATTGAGTTATCTGTGAAACAATAGACAAATGCCTTACTTACACAGTTCAAACTAAGAATAAAAAGTTTTCTGTAAAAATCTTTCAATCTTCATTCACTTCCACTAAATAATGTATTGTAAACATGACAGTAAATATTTCTATTTAAATGATGAATGGCAAACACTGGGTCGCCTAACAAAAAGAACTGATATCAACAATTGCAGATTTTTTGGATGGATTTTTTAAAATGAAATTGACTTTTGAATTTAACTATATGTACTTCTTATAGCAGGTAAGACACAGCTCCTGTCTGGAATTTTTTTTACTCTTTAAGACAAACTTCTTTTAAAATATCAGTTCATTTTATTACGTTATACTTTACTATATTTAACTGAACTGAGATAAAAAAGACTCAATAGCTAGCCCACTGAATTGTATTTACTGCATATCTTCGTTCAACAGTATTTGAGCATAAAAGTACTATTTTCTCTTTAATTTACAAAACCATAATATAGTGTTCGGTTGTTTTAACATAACTCAAGCACATCACTTTCAGAGCAGAGCACACTCTATATGACTAAGCTTTAATCCAAAGATCAAGATTTGTCTCCACGTACAGTAGTTATTTTATAACAGTCAGGGCCATATTATGCTCTTAGTCTTTTTATAGTAATTAAAGATGAAAAAAAGAATGTACACAGTGTATATTATCTCAAAACTCTCTGTTGCATTCTACAACACTACCTACCAAAGAGATTACAGAATATTTGGTCCTATAAACAATGTGTCAAAATCAGGAAAGAGGTATATCAAAATCCAAGCTTAATAGTTTCAACAAAATTTATGTATTTTCATAGGTAATGAGGACACTTTACATATATTGTAAAGTGTCAGACTGGAGGAAGCTCCAGCATGCCACTACATTTAAAGTAAGTGGGATATATATTATCTATATCTCTATAGTGCCCTGCTTATACTATTAAAAAAAAGGTAAGTTATCAAAGGAATTCTTAAAGTTCCAACAAAAGGGTTTATTGGCAAAAAAGTTTCTCAATCACAGTGGTTCAGAATTCAATCTCCTTAGAATTCTGAATAATCTAATTCAGATTATGCCAGTAGAAAAAATTTCTTAACTTTCTATCTGGTATGAAATTCTTTGAAAAGGTTGCTCGTTAAATCTTTCTACAGTGAACATGAGGAGGCAGAGTGCCCTTCTGAAGAATTTGCCCTTACTACAAATGGTGTGAGGGGATCAGGTCAAAGAAATCAGACCTCAACAACATTCCTTTTACAGCAAATGGTAAACAGGAAGGTTATTTCCATAGGTCAATACAGTGGCAAGTATGTGGCCACTGGGAACAAATGGTTGCCTATCTAAAAGAGATTTAAATTCCCATTACGATATGGGGTCCCTAAAAGGAAGCCTTATTCTGCCCCTCAGAAATGTATTTTTACAAGGAGGAAGGATTCTGTGAAAAGCTCTGTTCAAGAATGTCAGGCAGAAATAACAGATAAATAGACTATGACTGAATTATCTGAAAGGTCAGTCTTTAGTTTTAGTAGGGTAAGAAAGATGTGGCTATATCTGGAGAATACAGCTTCCGAAATCACAGGAACGCAATTTATGAGCACAATTTATGAAAAAGGAGCTCGTGTTCTTAAGGGCTGCTACAACCATGGCCTGTGATATCTAAAATCTGATTGTCAGATGCTATAGAATATTATATACAGTGGAAGGTACACAGCCTATCCCGGAAGGGATTGAATAGCATTATGGTGACTCTGTTAATAGTGAAAATGGCAAAGTAAAATTTATAAGTTTATGAAGCTTTTTTTTTAATGGTCATTTGTAATTTATTTTGCTTTTTGGTTAAACATCACAATTTTTTACATACTGATGAAATTTAATTATGTAAACAAGTAAAACCAAAAAGGAATAGAATTAAAATTTCTAATAATATATACTGTATTTGACAAATAAATATTTATAAAATGATGGGTAATTTTTATGAGCACAAAGGTAATAATTCTGTATATTTTCAAAATTACTTTGTTCTCCTGACATATTTAAATATAAATCTCCTCAGATCTTGCCAGTAGTGTAAAGATTAGGTGCTAAAAAGGTAGCTGCAGAAAGTCCTGATAAGTAATGATATTTTTAGTCAATCAGTTGGTACCACTTGTATGCTGCTTAAATATATACTCAAAATAATCAGAGAAAACATCATTATTAGGAAAGTGTGTGCAAGTATATGTCTTTGTATTAAAGCAGATGTTTATAATCTACTAAAATTATGTACAAAACAACTTTTTTTGGATTAGTTTCTTTGCCTCTCACATATGTAGCAATTTAGCATAAATTATTTACAGCCTATCTCTTTCCCCATGTTTTTAGCAGCTGATCTATTCTTTTGGCAGAGTCTATAAACAACAATCAACTGGTCCTTAGTATTTGTCGGTCTCAAGCAACCATTGACAAAATCTTTCTTAATAAAGGTATTAAATATGAAAGTACTTTCAAACAATATGGTGAAATTTAGTAAAAAGATGAACATGTCCAGCACAGTTAATCATTCTCATATTTTGCCCATCAGTTAACCTATAAGTAATAAAAGTTATAATGAAAGCAGTTATTTTCCTCCACATCCACAAGTAACAAGTTAAGGTTGTTTCCTTATACGTACATATATGTTTATATTACTTTTTCTCTTTTTATAGATACTTTTATATACATATTTACATTCATTTCTAAAAGGTATTAAAACAATGTATTATTACTTTTAAATGTTCATTACTCTTTAAGGAGCATGAATGTGCATAAATAGAGAAGGCATAGATCTTTTTTGATTCTTACTGGCTGGTATACTGGACAAAGATGTATACAAGATTTAATCCTTCTATGCTTTCCTTTAAAATTCTGACTTCAAAATACTTCTGAGGCGTTTTTTCTGACTGCAGTCCATTTGTACTCCAAAAGCATCTTGTTTGAGACTTTCCACTATATTTAAATGTTCACTAATTATCTGACAGGGAAATAGATCTAACTTCATCACTTGGTAAAATCAAGTATGTTTGTCAAATGAATTATCTGAAAATGGGCTAACTGAAAAGAATTTAAAACGTGTAATTACTTTGTATTATTAGAAAATAAAATTATGTTCAAATGGTTATTAGATTCATATATTCTAAAATTGTTTTTATAGTAAAATTCACCTGAAAGAAGCATATCACTTTGATTTTCTTCCTAGTTTTAAAAATGCTTTTGTAAAAGACATAGGATTTTTGCCTTATCAAAGTGTGAAACTCAGTGGAACCTTAACTATGGAGTTACCGCTAACATCAATATATTAATAGACTATAAAAACATAGGGAATGTTAATCCTCTTTTTACAATTCTGTAGCTATTGCATCTAGTGAGCCCACTAGTCTCAAGGGAACTTTCTGCTGACAGTCCACTTCCCAGCTGTGTGATAGCAGCACCGCTTCAAAGAACAAGAAGCAGAAGCAGGAGTTGCACTGCTCTTAAAAAGAGGATAGCTGACAACAGCAGCTTCTCTTTTGAAGTCATTAGAAGGGAAGAAGAAAGAGAGTAAAGAGAAAAGAAGAGGGATGAAGAAAGAACATAGGGAGCGTATGAACTCATGAAGTATAGTATGTTTATTTGACAGAACTACAGAAGAACTGAGTGTCTGCATACAGAGCTACTAAATTACAGAATTCCAGAAAACCTCTGTAGAATCAGTTTTCTTTTATAAATACACATAGTACTCAAACACAAAATACTGCAGAGATTTTTCTTTTACATAAGAATATAACATTGAATTTTACATTTGTGCAAAATTATGTGTGGATATTGATCTAGAAACTCACAGCAATTTTTTGCATCCTTTCAGAAGGGATCTAATTATGAGAAGAGAGAATATTCAGATAAGAAAGCAGAAACAATGGAAAGGAACTGGTGCTATAGAAAAGGAAGAAGAGCCTGAGAAAGACAAAGTAGAAATGCAAAGCAAAGATATAATTAATGTTAAACAGAGTACCACAGCTCTGCAAGATATATTGTCCACATGCTCTCCCCTCCTTTGGGTGTTCCTGTTCAATAGCTAGAAGGAGATACAGATTTTTTTCATTTTAGCAGAAACCTAGCCTTAGAAGAACACCTACTGCTCACTAAAGCAGTGGAATCTTGGGAGTTAGGTAAAGTTCAGTTTCAGGGATAATGGGGGACAAGAAGGTAAGCATGATATGTAACTCTGAGCCAACAAAGAAGAAGCAAATCTAGAAAACACGTAAAAACAGCTCCACCAACTTGGCGGTTAGGTTCCTAGGATCTGTCCCAACTTTGCGTTAGGGTGAGAACCGAACACGTCCACATGGATTCTGACTCCTCCTCTCTATCTGGGTGCATGAAGGTGCAAGATGGGAGCTGTGATGGGAACTTCCATGGAGGTTTCTGATATAGATAATTGGAAAAAAAGCAAATGC